GGGAGGGGGAGTACGTCCGTGGCTAGGTAGGGTTTGTGCCGCCTGGTCCACGATGTTCCCCCGGCGTGGTGACGCCATTTGCACTTCGCGACGGTGTGAGCTGCGCCACCTGGCTGCGTGGGCGGAGCGCGTGATAACACGCAGGCAAATCGATGTGTCTGTTGATGGAGTTGGTGTCCGACACCCACGCCTCCAACAGCTCTCGCCCTGTCTTGTTGCCGGCTCGCGCCAATATCCGCGTGTTGGCGAAGTCGAACTCATGCCCTTCCTCGAGCGTGTGAGTGGCTACTTGAGACAGTGGGTCGCCTCTCCGAACGGCCCGTTTGTGCTCAAGTATTCGTGAGCTCAGACGTCGTCCTGTCTGGCCTGTGTAGTGGCAAGGACAGTTTTGGCACGGGATTCGATAGACTACGCCCGACTGTTCACCTGCGTCCAGCCGATCCTTCATTTTCATGATCCTGCTACGCATGGTGGCCGCCGGATGATGAGCGATGCCCACGCCTAGCTCTGACGCGATGCGTTCTGTGGCCTCGGACACATTCTTTATGTACGGTAGGGAGTGCCAAATTGTTGATGTCTCCCTTCCGTTTGTCCGGCGTGGGTGTGCGCGTATGCAGCGACTGATAAAGCTATTTGGGTAGCCGTTCTTTGTTAATTGGTCCCGGAGATGCCGTAGTTCTTGCATCCTTCCTTCGGGCTCGCTACAGTGCGTTTTTACCCGGTCTAAAAGCGCCCTCACACAGCCCCGTTTGTGCACCAATGGGTGGTTGCTATGATAGTTGAGGACCTGGGTTGTATTGGTCGCCTTTCTGTACACTGTAGTGCTGAGTTCACCGTCAGGTGTGCGCCTGACGAGCACGTCCAAGAAGGGTAGTTTTTCGTCCTCCTCGTCTTCTCTTGTAAACTTAATGTCGGGGAATATGCTGTTAAGTAGGTCTTGGAAACCCGATAGCTTGTCGTTTTCAATAATGACGAATGTATCGTCCACGTATCGGCGCCAAAACGCAGGTTTGTAATGGCTGAAAGCAACCTTTTCCAGCTCTTGTAGGACCAACTCCGCAACTAGGCTGGATATTGGGGAACCCATGGGTGTTCCTTTGATTTGTTCGTATGTTCTGCCATCGAAGGTGAAAAAGGTTCGTTGGCAGAATGCAAAGAGCTGCATTAGGTGCTGGATCTTTAGCAGCCCTGTCGTTTCGTTGTACTTTTCTTCGAGGCGTTTGCGTAGCACGTCGCGCGCCAAGTCTGGTGGGATGGACGTGAAAAGTGAGACAACGTCGAAGGATACCATGATTTGGTCGGGTTGAATAGTTTTTCCCCGAATGTCGGCAAGGAATCGGGAGGCCGAATTGACGGACGTCACAGAGCCCTCTCGGAGAAAATTGAGCTTTCGGGACATCCATTTGGCTAAATCGTATGTGGGGCTGCCTTTCAGGGCCACGATTGGCCGCAGAGGAACGTTGGGTTTGTGTATTTTTGGTAGTCCGTAGAACCTGGCCAACGCCGTGTCGGTTGGTTTTGTCTGGCGCCATTCGTCTGGCGAGATTACATTGTTACGCCGGAGTCGGCTTAAGAGTCCACTCAGCTGGCCAATCATCGATTTGGCCTGCGAGGCGGGCGGGCCGTTCGGAGAGGCGACCCACTGTCTCAAGTAGCCACTCACACGCTCGAGGAAGGGCATGAGTTCGACTTCGCCAACACGCGGATATTGGCGCGAGCCGGCAACAAGACAGGGCGAGAGCTGTTGGAGGCGTGGGTGTCGGACACCAACTCCATCAACAGACGCATCGATTTGCCTGCGTGTTATCACGCGCTCCGCCCACGCAGCCAGGTGGCGCAGTTCACACCGTCGCGAAGTGCAAATGGCGTCACCACGCCGGGGGAACATCGTGGACCAGGCGGCACAAACCCTACCTAGCCACGGACGTACTCCCCCTCCCTCCCCCGCAAGGATGAACGATATAAATGTTCACAAGTTACTACACTCAAGCAGTCTCGGATGATGAACTCCAGTTCGAGTTCGAAAGCTCAGGCAAATAAACTTACTGTCCCAGTGATCGTGCCTTCGCCTTCCTTTAAACAAGAACCTGGGATGCGGATATTGTCTTCCATTCATGCACAATATATGCTTTCTTTTACTCGTTTGGTAGAAAATGACAGCGTCTTTGCATTTCAAACCGAAGAAAGTATATATCTAGGTTTTGAAAGCGTTCTCCAATTCCCGTTTAATTTTCAGTCAGATCAGCTGTTGCACTAGCGTTTAGCAATTTCTGTCTACAAGGTGCACACTTTCCGCGTATAGGAAAGCATATCTTCTATACATATACTTCATGCCTTTAAGAAGATACCATATATAATTCATAAAATTTCGCAATGGATGCGGACTATGTTGTACATTTTATGAGGGGCATTGGTAAACGGACATGAGCGATGCTGAATGTTTAGACATCGCATGGTTTTAAAAAACTCATAATTAAAAACATTTTTTAAATCAAAAGATTACCCTTTTTGCGGTATAAAATATCAAGATGACATGATTTTCTACCAAAAGATTGGAAGAAGGCATGCTTTTGTGCATGGTTTCTATAAAATATGTTTGAATTTATAATACTATCGAAAATCCATGCAAAAAATGAATGCTACTTATGTGGTCAATTTTTGCCGAGTGTTGTTTGTACAGGACTTCGACAAGAAATGCATTCAAAAACCGACGTCCCGACGAATCCGAAATACTGCTGCATGATAATCAATATTACATTCCCACCTAAGAGGTTTTTCCTGATCGGAAACGCATTTCACAATTTCGGCCAACATTTCATGATATCGGTCCCGCACTGTACACGTTACTGGTAATATTCTGAGTAGTTAACCATATAATGTGCTGCACTCAGATGTATATAATACATTGTTCACAAAATGAAAATTCACCAGTTAGCGTCGTAAAAGAAGCAGCAATCTACGTTCTTAAGTAGGTTCCCGACGTTAAGGCCGAGGATACGAAAAATTCGCCATACCCGCATGAGGATGTTTACGAACACATTTTATGGCCGAGTTTGTGAGCGGGCTGACCCGTCAATTTTGTTCTATTTTTATTGGCCAAAATATATGGACAATAAACCTACACTACAATAAAATACGAACTGCAGATATTTAATACTAACAGAGGAGTTTGGTGTTGAACCGCGTCAATTTCCGTACATTTATTTCAATGGTTTGAGCCTTGTCCCTGGATATTCGTTGTGATATTTTTGCGCCTTATTTGAGTTTGAAAAATCTCAGCAAAAATAAACTTGCAGATAATTTGAACGAAGACATTACACTTGCTGACGGCAATCTTAACCACTGAGAAGACAATAAATGCTGGAAAGGAAACTTCTGTTCGTCACCTTAACCTTTCTTGTTGCTAAACCTTGCAGGCGTGATGCAGCTTCATGACAGGCAGGATGAGATTTATTTAGGCTGTTCCAAATTTGTTAAGCGGTTCGAATCAGTCTGGGATTCTCCGTATGTACCTTATAGATTTTCTGCAAAAAATTTCGTACCAGATATGATAGTACCTTATTAAAAAAAATCACTGGAAGCATCACTACCGAGCTCCTTCCGCGAAGATCCCGAAGGATCGTCTTGAAAAATTTTAGTTCTTTCAAACAGCACAGTCATTCTTATGAGGCACTCAAGCAAATCTTCCAGATAACAAGTAAATTTAAGCTGTTGTCTTGTTGGGGTAGCCACTAAGTCGATGGACCAATTCGTGAGACACCTGGACACTTCAGTAAACATGCGTTATTGATGGTGACATCTAGCATGGGCAGCTGCGCAAAGCAGCAAAGGATTGATTGGAGTGCGCACTCAAGAGACCGCGTATAACACGTGATCTACTGACGCTGTGGGTCCATGCAATTGTGAAACCGTTTCGTCATCGTACTGAGTGCATAAATTAAGCCGAATCATGAAACTCAACGATCCGCTACTCAGGGTTGCCTTCATGTGCTCCTATGTTTGTCCTTCTCGTCATATGGGTACAAGGACGGCCTTTATACGAACAGTCAATTTTACAAGGACGTGATTTGTAAAAAAACGGAGTATAAGAAGAACTTTTTCATTTATTTTGGAAGATTTTGTTTGAATTATTGCGTCACTAAAAATCTGCGGAAATCTTTGCAATAATAAGGCCGTCATTTTGTTACTGAATATGGTTTTTGAGTGGACCGCAAAAAGGGCACATTCAAAAGACGGTCTCCTGGTGTGAACGAAATATAATGGGATTAAGCTACGTGCCAATCACTATTACACATCCATTTCCTTATCCTATCTAATCGAGAACGCATCTCGCAATTTCGATTAATGTTCTAAAAGATTGATAACTAACTGTAGATACTGTGCCAATAGATACTGTCCTTTAACCCAGAATTGTGTTTCGCTGGTGTTTATGCGGCTTGCATGACGTAACTGCAAAGGGGGCTCGATTCCTAAGTGGATCTCCGGCCTTTTCTGTACTTGTTTCTGGTAAATATCAAGCTTATGACATCAGAAACTATCATATTTTTAGGATCAGCCGCAGCAAGTCGATAGGAATTTATGTTAAAGATGTTGGGCATCCGAAGAACGACCGCGTGGTGAATAGTCTACAAACACGTAGCTCTAAACGTAGCATGCTTTCTCTATAACAAATGGCCCGACATTACTTCGAACAGAGGTACTAGTTAAAAACCCAAACAATTAAATCTAGGCCTATGGATGCTGAGGCAGCTAGTAAGCACATGTGAGAACTTCAGGAGACTTGTACAGTAGACTATGGGACAGAGGCCTAAAACGCGGCCCTATCTAGTCATTTCCTGGTCAACTGCCTACGAATTTCGTATAAATACCGACTCCAGTAGGTAGGTTTCTGTTAAGCATTATGGTTAGAGTTCAAATAAGGGTCTAAAATTACGTTTAGGGGTTTACGGGTTTAGTTTCAGGGTTAGCATTTATGGGCTATGGGTAGGATTTTGAGTTGAGGTTTAGAGCTAGGATTTAGAGTTAGGGTTACTATTTAGGATTAGTGTTTAGGGTCCTCCGGTTGAGAAGATGAGGCCGAGTCTTAGACCTCTGTCAATTATGGCGTCGAACACGAGCAGCTGCGCAAGGCAGCAATGAACAAATTGACGGTCCAACCTCGCGACGACAAGTATGAGGGAGACTATAATGGCTGTTTCGTGTGCTCAGTTAAGCCGGCGTGCTAGATCGATCCTCATGACAAGCATTTTCCCACTGAAGCACGGATGTACTTCCTATCGATGTGGCGGATTTTTCAGAGTTTTGAAGGTCAAACGGTCTTTACGCCGGCCGAATCGTGCCTATCGCAGGCTAGAGGGTGATGGATTTTAATTTCGATTGCAGTATCCAGCAAGGATTCAGCACAGATGGCCATTTGCAAAGGGCGACCTCTAAGCTTGAAGAAGTGGAAGTGCCTTTTAGGAACTGAGTTGAAGAAGAATGTTCGGTTATTGTAGTACAGAGCGTTTCATGCAGCTGTTATTTGTAAATTGAACCATTTCCCCGTTGGGCAGCTTTCAACGAGCAACATTACATGTGGGAGCTCTTACCCGTTAAGTTGGGGATAAGATCTTGCTACCAAAGGGTTATGCACGGCATGATCAGAGTAACAGGTAGGTCTAGCCATAGTAATAATGGTATTTACATGTTAGTCACCCATGAATGAGTCCCTTGGAGAGAAAGGAGGAATGAATTACTGCCGTTTACAGAAGTATATACATATTGCCAAGAGTGCGCAGTACTCATGTAATGATAGCGGAAAGGCCAAAATGCATTTTCGAATGGATTTATCTAAGTGGAGTAGTAATAGTGGTTATGATTGCAACACCTGCAATACCTGGCTTATCTCAGGAAATGTTAACCATAATTCTTAGCTGTGGTTTTGATTCCAAAAATAGTTAGATGTAGTTTAGTTTTAATTTTAATGAAGCTCGACCTTAAGGTAATTCAATCACGAAAGATTGTCAGCTTTTCAATGTACTCAATTTCGGCTATTTGTAGAAAGCGCAGCCAGCAAAAATACATAATCTCAGAAGCATGAATGGTTTTCACGGATTTTCGATGACCTAATAACTTAAGTGGTATTTTATCGAAAACATGCATAAAATATCCTTGTTGTATTTATTCGACAGAAGATCGTGTTTTCTTTAAATTCAAATGACCAGTCGGGGAGCATACGCGTGTTTTGGATAAATAATCACAGGGCCAGTACATTTATGGAAGAGCGGGATAACATAGATTTGCTCAACCATGAAATGTTGACCGAAATTCTGAAATACGTTTTTGACTCACAGAGCTGAATTAAGTAGGGCTGTAATATTAATCACCGTACAACACCGTGCTCTTGTAAATTCAAGTATATGTTTTGCAAAACGTATGCAAAAATATTCATTCTTTCACTAATTTCGTAGAAAATTACGCCTTCTTAAAATTTTATGATTGAAGGAAGGGTGTAATTCGGTTTTAAAAACCTTTCCAATTCCCGAGTAGTTTTGAATCCGAGCTCCCGTTACACTTGCATTCGGGTTTTTCAAACTAAAAGCTGTACATTTTCCGTGTACGGAGATTCATATATTCCTAAACTCTACTAGGAGGAGACTATGCGGGGTTTGTACAATTTATCAGTGGATTTTTGCCGTATTGTAAACTTTAAAAGCGACATCAGTAAATACGGTAACAAGATGTTTTATGAATGGGCATTCCATTACCTTAAAAATCTCATAATTGAAAACTCTTTTAGAACCGAATCATATCCTTTTGTTAAGTATAAACTTTGAAGAAGACAGGAAATTTCTACCAAATGAGTAAAGCAATGCGTATTTGTACGCATGTTTCATATTAAATTCATAT